CCGTTCTTGGAGGCCAGCTTCTTGGACCCAAGACTTTGACCTTGGCGGCAAAGGACGTCGTGTTGGTGTACGACCCGCCGGTTGGGTTCTGGAGCGTCATCGTGAGTGCGACAGTGGTTTTGCCCGGCAACGAAATCGTTTCGCTGTCGCCGGCGTTGCAGTCGGCTTGGATGTACACCGAGGAGGCGGCGTTCTTGTATCCCCACGAGCACGTGCCGGTCGAGATGGTGGACGTCGCCGACGCAGCGAGGGCGAGGAGAAGCGAGATGCGCGTGAACATAATGATGTCAGCTTGAAGAAGCAAGAGCAGATGTGACGAGTAGGTAGGCGCCAACAGTTGTAGCTGGGTGTGTTCTATATAGACGCGACAGCGCGTGCGTGGACTGTCTTCAGTCGCTGCATGGGACTAAATTTGGGAAAAACAGGCTATTTACTTGTGAAGTGCAGAGCGGTGTTGTCATGCGAGAGTCTTTAGATGGGGACCCTTGGTTGATCGTCTGTAATTTCTTGACCAAAAGGTAAAATTCTATTTTTTGGACGATCAAATATCGGTCGGTTGGACCCGGCTTAGCGCACGCCGCCTCCTGTCGGGGGTACGTTAGCATTTACCCATATCTATAGGGTTTTTCAGTGCATCATTGTCGACTTGCCCAAGACGGTACCAAGTACTTGCTCGAACCACGTCTACTGCCACTACGAGATATTACCAGAAGATACCAGACATATTTGTAGTTGGTTTTTGTACTTGGGATCGACCAAGTTATTCGCTCTAGAGTAATCCATGGAATTAAGGGTCCTCGCATCGAACGGTGGTCGAACACAGCACTTCTGTGTGGCTCGCGTCGCGATACAACGCCAACTCGAGGAGTTTCGGGCGCTGGGCGACGCTAAAGCTCTTTTGCTGCGTCACCTCGGTCGTGTACGGAATCCCAAACGCAAAGACGTCAAGGAGCCGATCGCTGTGTGTAAAGTACGGCGCATCTCTGCGATTTAGTCCAAACGTTCGCAGCCGCGCGTCAAATGTGGTCGCCAACCGTGCGTCGCGTCGACCCCAAAACTTCAAGCGCACGAGCAACGTCGACTGCCCCGGAATCACAATCGTCTCGCCAGTGCTGTCTGCCAAGCACGACGCCTGGACGTAGAGCAAGGCGGTTTTCGACCCCCATGAGCACACTCCGGACGTTGCGCGCACCACCGCCAGTGTGCACCAGGCCACGAGAAAAACAGCCTTGCTGCTGCCATCGTGGCTCCGAGACGGCAAGGGGCCAAGTGACATATACGTGGTGAAGTCACGGCGTCCCTGGCTCGGCTTTTCGTGCCGTTTTATATGGCGCATCTGATCTCCATCGGGTAGCAACGACGTAATGACCTCGTTCCAACAAGCACTAACGTAGTCTAGTGAAGAGGCACCGCCGAGTGCATAAAATAGTGACTCTGGGAACACGATCGTTGCGGCAGTGCACTGCAACGCGACACTTGTTCCATTTCTCTCGAGGCCCGCCACAACGAAGATACTATAGAAGGCCTCGTTGATTGTATCGTTCGTATGTTCGTTCGGATACGTGCTTCCTCAAACACAAAAGATAAGTCATTCAAGATGCTATAAGCTGTCCGTCTGTCTTGTCATATTCACGCATGTGGTGCTGTCTATTCGGATACCTTATGGCGTTGCGTTTCCTGGTTTCGTTATTGTGTGCGGTGCGTTCAATAAGAGTTATTTCCCGTCGTTCATTTCCAGAGGTGGTGCTAGGGTAGGGCTAGGTTTCGAAAAACGGAACGATGCCGTGGACTGTCAACTGCGACCGGTCATACATCTAGTCCCGTGCAGCGACTGAAGACAGTCCACGCACGCGCTGTCGCGTCTATATAGAACACACCCAGCTACAACTGTTGGCGCCTACCTACTCGTCACATCTGCTCTTGCTTCCTCAAGCTGACATCATTATGTTCACGCGCATCTCGCTTCTCCTCGCCCTCGCTGCGTCGGCGACGTCCACCATCTCGACCGGCACGTGCTCGTGGGGATACAAGAACGCCGCCTCCTCGGTGTACATCCAAGCCGACTGCAACGCCGGCGACAGCGAAACGATTTCGTTGCCGGGCAAAACCACTGTCGCACTCACGATGACGCTCCAGAACCCAACCGGCGGGTCGTACACCAACACGACGTCCTTTGCCGCCAAGGTCAAAGTCTTTGGGTCCAAGAAGCTGGCCTCCAAGAACGGCGACGGACCGTACCACGTCCCGAAAGCCAGCGACGAGTACTCGGGCTGGAACCGTCGCACGACCGACGCTGGGTACGACGGCGCTTCGAGCGGCTACGACGCTGGCAACGCGTATGACTCGAACAACGGGTACTTTAACAACGACGGCTACGGCGCCGACAAGGGTGCTTACGACGCCGAGGATGGTGCTAACGGCAC